TATGGTTAATTAATTAATTTTACATTCATTCACTGAGCATAGTCATGGCATACAAAATATAATTTCCCATCCAAAATATACTGATTAGTGGCTTAATCATACATGTTATCACTGATAATTTTTCATTTCTAGTTTCATATATATATGTATATATTTTCCCCCTATTTCTCACCCACTGCCATTTCCCACCCTCCTTCCACGCTATCTCTGGTGTCTACCATTGCTTTCCATTCTTTTTTCCCCCCACATTTTATTGATTCACAAACTATCTTACGTAACCTATCTACTTTCAATAGCAAGGTCAGCTGATACATACATATCTGTGTGTTTTTTTTTAAATAATTACTTATTTATTTAATTATATTTGTTATTATTTATTTTAAAATAATTTTAAATTTTATTTATTATTTTTTAACGTGCCATACTCATCAGAGAGAAAGTGAGAAAACAAGCCACCAGATCTGGGACTTGAACCCTAGTCAGTCATGTGGGAGTCCAATGCCTTAACCACCACAGCACTTGCAGCCCCACTAGCTCTGTTTCTTTTGGGAAACTTCTGATTGTCTAGGAGATTTAACTCATGAAGAAGTCTATAACCCAGAGAGAGCTTATGCTAACTCAGCCAATGAGGTCAGCTCCATGACCTAGTGCTTAAGGTAGTGGATTCCACATAGCACAGTTTGAGTCTCAGACCTGGTGGCTTGAGAAACTTGCCAGGCGTATGCCCGAATTCCCCAAAGAAGGAGAAACAGAAAAGGGATTGCATGACCATTCCCCATGTTGGGGAGGGGATGCTTTCTCCTCTCCTCTCCTTCTTTCTGTCTCTGTCTGATGAGTGCATGTGCCCTGTAGCAAAAAAGAAAAATAAAGTGAACCAGTGTAAACTCTTCATTATAACTCCTGTAGCCCTATTCCCTTCCCTTCCCTTCTGTCTGTCTCTGTAAGGTGGACCCTGAACTTTGCCATTTCGGGGAAAACTGGCTAAAGGTAACTGGGGCCTTTATCTCCCCTGGGGTGGCTGTCTTCATGATCTAGGCTTAAATAAACCTTTCTGTTCATTGAATTAACTTCATGTCAGACCTCTTTTATTTTAGTTTGACAACTGTTTATTAAAAAAATATAAAACATTTGTTTTCCCATTTTCCATTTCTCTTGAGTTTTTTAAGAAAACTAGAACAATTATTCACATATTAGCATTAATATTAAACATCCCATATATTTTACAACATGTACTATGCATTTAAATACTATCTTGTCTACCAAAAAAATAGTAAATTTTTCTATTATACATTCTGGGTAAAATTAAAAATAAATAAATTAAAAATAAATTATTTCTGAATATAGAAATAATTTAACAAATCTTATGGAACATCTACTATGTACCATGATTGGTGAACACACAAATAAATAAGAAATGGTCCTGCCATTAAGTTCACAATCTAAAGGGCAAATAGAAAAATACAACAGACACTTTAATGCAATGTGACAGCTTTCAATGGCATGCACAGAGAATTTCAGGGACCCTTCTGTGGTTAAGAGAACCACTAATCCAGAATGGTAGTAGGAATGATTTTCAGCCAAAGTAATGTGTTTTACAAAAGATTTGCTCAGGGAAAAAAATCAATGGCAGGTAAGATAAAGAACACTTTTGGGTATATCAAACAGCATGTACAAAGGCAGAGAAATAGGAGAATTTTCTTGTTCAGGGAACTGCAAATAGCTTGGTATGACTGAACTGAAAGTTGCAGAATGAGACAGCTGCTCAAGAAGAGGCTAGAGAGAGAAGCCAGACTGCATCATTAAAGGCCTGACAGGTTTTGCTAGGACATTTTGATTTCTACCCGAATGCAGTGAGGAATTGAAATTAAGGCTGACGTGATAATTTGGGGGTTTTAGGAAGGTTAGAGTGGTGACAATAATAGGAAGGAACTAAAGGCAAGAACATTAAGAGGTTGTTATAGTAAACTCAACTTCAAATAAGGTCCAGACTTATGAATTTAAGCAGAGATAAAGATGAAGAAGGGGTGGGCTATTAATATGGATGATAAAAGCAGCAATAACCGACTCTTGACTGGCTATGGAGAATGATGGAAAAATAAAAAAGGTCGACTATTGAGCAGTTAGGTAGGGACTGGAGGAAGAACAACGATAAAGTTGTTAGAAAAGTCGTGACCTATTTTTTCCATTTTTCTATGCAAAAAGGTGCCATGACTTTTCTGATGACCCAATAGTTTGTGAAATGACGAGTTCCAATTCAGGTGGTTGTGACTTAGCTAAGAATCCAACTGATAGTGGCATGTGTGTTTCTGGAGCTTAACAGGGAGATCTGAGCTTGAGACCCACACATGGACACTATCTGACCTGCGGTGGTCGTGCCACTGGAGGAGTAGATGGGATAACCTAGGACGTTTAGAATGCACGGAGATGAGAGGACAATTGTCTGAACCTTGAGTAATACATGTGAAGAAAGTCCTTGAAGGAAACCGGGAAGATTGGTTAGTGTAGGGGAAGA